GAATTATTCTAGAATGGGTAACATTTCAAGGGTAAATGCTAGTGAAAATCGGGCAAGGGGTAGTGATGATCTTGGGCAAAAATCGAGTGTAACAATAGTTAATGGATTGTTTATATATGATCTTAACTAATTAAACAATAAAATCCATGTATATATCACAACTAAGTCCTTATAAAATAATTTTTACTTATTTTTTTTAATTAATAAAAAAATTTTTTATTTAGATAATTTTATTAAAATTTAATAAAAAAATAGAAATTTTATATTAAATTAATTTTTTAATTAATTTTATAAAATAAAACTCAAAATAACTTTATTAAGATTATTTATATATTAAATAAAAAATCTTTAAAAAAATTTTTATAAACTATATATATATATTTTTTTATTTTTAAATTAATTTTTTAAAAAAAATTCTTATAATAAAAAAATAATATTTTCAGTCCATATTTATATATAAATCTATATATAAAAATTTGTAACAAAATTTTTGCAACCAAAATTTTTAACTTTAAATTAAAATTTTAAAATTATTCATTATATAGATAATTATTTTCAAAAGCAGACTGGAAATTTTCTAATGTGATTCTAAAATTAATATCATATTTGTATTGTTTAAATGTTGGATCTAAAAAAATCATATCTAATATTTTTTTGTCTTCAAAAATAATTGCTTATATTATTAAAAAAAGTATTTTAAAAATTTTATTTAAATTCAATAATTATTTATTAAATTATAATAAAAAATATATTTTTAATTATTTTTGTTCTATACTATATTTAACAAATTAAATATATACTGTATATTATAAAAAAATTTAGTTAATATATATATATAATTTGATAAAACTCTCTTCTAATTATATTTATTTTGCTAAAAAATTTTCTTTTATAATAATTTTTGTCAAGAAAAAATATTTTATTTTTTTTATTACAAGTAAGCCCCAGCTCAGGAACTCAAAAACCTTTAAAAAAAAAACTAGTGCAATAGAAATAGAATCTCTAATCAAAGTTTATTCAAGTTTGGAAATCTTGCTTATTCTTTGGTTATATTTATAACAATTCTTGTTTCTTTTATTCTCTTGTATTTCTACTTATCCTTATTATATTATAAAATTTATTCATATGGGTAATTATTTTTGAAGGCAATAAAAATACCAGATATGATTTTTTTAAACTTAACTTTTAAACAATGCATATATAGTATAAATTTTAAAATCATATTAGAAAATTTCTAGTCTATCTTTAAAAATAATTATTTATACCAATATTATCATACAGTATTTGTTAAACTAAACACTTCTTCAAAAATATATTCAAAGTTGTTAGATCTAATATTTATTTTAAGTTAATTTTTATTTACAATATTATTATAACAATATTTGTTATATTATCTTAAATTTTTTAAAATTTTTTATTCAAAAAATCAAAATTAGTTTACTTCCTTCAAATAATTATTACTCTTCAATCATCTAATCAGATTTTGTCAAAACATCAAAACAAAAATTAAATTTGCTCAAATTAGTTTTTCAGTATAATAATAATAACAATAACAATAATATTAATAACATCAACTATACTATAATTTCTTTGTTACCAAAGTATATGCCAACAATTGAAGAATCTAATAGACTTAAGTTTTTTTTATAGCCAAGCAAAGGACTCTTCTGGAAACATGATCTTTATTACTATAGATCTTATTACTTATTTGACTTAATTCAACTATAGTTATTTTATTATTATATATATTTTCTTTTATTATCTATTCTTTTATGTTTTATTTTAAAATTTACAAAAAGATTTTATAAAATTTCTGAATAGGTAAGCATAGCTGCTATTCAGACACAGTTAGTATAATATTGTTTTGAATTTCTTTTTCAATATTAGTTAAATATGTATATATAGGCAAGTTAGCATTTAACTTTCTGAAATATGAAAGAGTTATACACCAGTAACGGTTACGCGAATTTCTGTCAGCATTAGCAACAGACTCGCCGTTTGCCCGTTACAATGTATTATTTATTGGAAAAGGTGTCAACGTGTCTCCTGTTTAGAATGTGGTAAAATAATTGTTTCTAAGTATAGCTTATGGGATTTACATGCGAATAAATGTCCTTTTATTATCGGAATAGGCTCCAATATGGTACAGAACGGGCAAAAAATATAATCTTTAACACGGATCCTTGATGAAACTAAAATATTGTCCGTTGTCCCTAGAAAAAAAAATTAGCTGGGGTTGGAAGTAGGGCCAGCAATTCAGCATTTTCAGACTGTAGAATCTTTTTTCGGATAACCGACCCTAGTAACCCTAGTGGCCCTAGTAAATCTCAAGTTTCTTACTTTTATTTTTCTTTATCTATTATACACGTATTATACAGTATGTATATAGGTATTATCTATTATATACTATAGTTACCATATAGCAATGATTTTTTTTTAGAATCTTATTTTTTCCTAAGGACAATAGGGACATTAGGAACAAAGATAGAAGAAAGAAATCAAAAAGCTCCAGAAAGTCAAAAGGCCGGCCCTAGTAATAACCCCAGTAAAATTTTAACTAGGATCGAGTTAGGGCCAACTAGGAATAAAAATTTAGCAAATGGATACAATTTGATATAGCAATACAGTAATTTCAAATTTTATGAGGTGATATTAATAATATCGTTAAAACTAGTCATCCGGATTTCTGTTGTATGCATGTGGAAATGTACGGAACAGATTCCTTTTGTATGGTAAACATTCGGAATAAAAAAAATCAACTTTTTTCATACATAAAATATTACATACGGCTCACTTTGACCAATATCGGAAGTTACTTATGATCGAATGATTTCCGAACAATGAGTTTCACAAGGTTAATATACAATACATCCCAAGATAACGTAGGTGGGTTCTGGATTCTGGATAGCGCATGATCGAGGACATGAGACAAGAGGATTATGTCGCTAGGTCCATCGATATTTACGCGATAGTAACACGAGAATATGGTCTGATCATACTATCCGGTTAAAATTCACTTCTATAAAAATCTAACTTCATGTCTCTTTCCTGCTGCAATTTTTATAAAGATGAACTGGCTACACTTTTTAACTATTCTTTATATAATCCTTATCCTTACACATAATGCCTTTGCGATAATCGCATGCACGAAGGATAGTGATTGTATGCTTGGATATATATGTGCCACATCATCTCCAAATAAAGGATCCTGCATTTATTCCTGTCATAAAAATTCTGATTGTTTTAATGGTCATTGTGATAATACAACATCCAAAGACTATCCACATTGGCTGTGTACTTGTAAAAATGATGACTGCTATCTTCCTCCAGACGGATCAACAATCATCTGTGATTCCACTCATCATTGTGTGGGTCCACTTTCTAAAAGCACATCACCACCTCCCTCCTCTGATTATGGCAAGATCAACAAAGAGGGTTTGGCACTTATTGAGAAATTTGAAGGCTTTAGAGAGAATTTTTATACAGATCCATCGGTAGGTTTACTCACTTTGGTTTGTATAAGTAATGATCAAATGCATTATTGAATATATAAATGTATTTTTAATATAGAATCAGGGTATTAAAACCATTGGCTTTGGTCATGCTTGCCATGTTGATCCAAACAAGTGCAACAATATTCATCCTCCGATCACTCGTGCTCAAGGAGAGGTTATTCTCTTGAATGATTTAGTGACGTTTGAAAAGTGTGTTACCTCGCTTACCACTTTTAAAGTCAACTCTAATCAATTTTCCGCGTTGGTCTCACTTTCCTTTAACATTGGCTGTCCTGCCTATCAAGATTCCACATTACGCAAACTTCTTAATGCTGGTAATACTAAAGGTGCATCTGGAGAATTTGGAAGGTGGGTTTATAGCGGCAAAAAAGTATTGGATGGTTTAGTTGCTCGCCGTCAAGCCGAGAGGAATCTATTTTGCAAAAATGGTGGATGCTAAAACTCTTTACAGTATTTTTAATTACGATAAACAGATTTTGGTGATTATAGATCGAGGTGACTATAAAAAAAATTAAAAAAATCAAACATATAAGTTTAGTATTAACTAAGCGTGAGAAGATATAAAAAATATTATAATTATTTTTTTGCGATATATTTTCAATGCCTAAAGAAACCAAAAGACATGCTCTTACTATTTAATGATAAAAATAAATTTGTAAATTAATTTATATACTATAAATAATGTTTATGAGACTTCTTAAATGCTTTATGCACTTGTACAATCATCTTGATTTATTAAATATATTTACATGAAAATTTTTGCTTGTATGCTAATATCCTTTTCCTACTGCTTATCTAATTCTCTATTATTACCCGTTTCTCGATTTATTTTTCTACAGACATCTTTGACATTATCATTAGTTCTTTAATTACGATTAAGCAATTTATTAAATTTTATATGTTAATAAAAAAATTATTCAAGTATGAATTAAATTTCATCGTTGAAATCCGAAGTATCAATTTACCACGTAGCAGCCTGTTCATAAGTCTCTTCTTTCTCAAGTTGAATACCCAAGAACAATTCAACCCTGATATTGCTGGGTCTTCAGGAATAAGCCGTAGCTTTGTGAGTGCAATAGCCTC